CTTTGCAGATACATGCTGTAGAAAGGCATCAGAATGCTGGAAAAGGCAAGAAGACTGGAAGATGATACAGCTGAAAGCTGGCAATGAGAAGTCCATATCCCTGTATGCTCCCAAAATGTGCTCTGTAGGAGTTTAACCACATCAGGGAAAAGCTTTGCTCTGGGAGTGAGACAGAGGGAGCACCACTGCTCTAAGTCATTGAGGTATCCCTTTTAAGTGGCTGCAGAGCAATGCCAAACATTTCATCTGCGTAATAAGCTCACACATAACTTACAATATATACTTATTTTACGTTATGTGCAACATGGGGATTCTTTTTTTACTAATCAGTTCAAGTTCTCATTCCCTGGAAGCCCAAAGCCCTGACAAATGAATTCCTGCTCATTCACACCTTACTGTGCTTTAAGAGCTATTAAAAGTTAGAAGACTGCTAACACCAGAAGTGATAAAAGCCCCTAATAATCTGATCAACACAAAGAAGACCAAATACCCCTCTCCACCCCCATCCAGAGCAGCCCAATGTAGTTCAGCTAACTTGCTTATGTCACTCGAGAAATCTCAGAGCTCTGTTTTGCCAACAATAGTCTCAGTGTGTAAGGGGCCGGGGGGCCTCTTTGGCACCACAGCTGCAGGTCGTAAATACGGTTCTGGAGATTATGATATTAAAGTGTCCCTTTTGGAGGCTGCAGAGCAATGCCTGAGGTATTGCCTCCTGCCTCCAAGGAGCCTGATTGCTCCCAGGGCTGTCAGGTGGCAGTGTGGAGCACACTTGGAGAGGTTCCCACATGGGGATTACTTCTTCACAAACATATTTCTGCCCTTTCCTGTGTTAGCCAGGGAGTGTAACAGCCTTCCAGTGTCTGAAGGGGGCCTACAAGGATGCTGGAGAGGGACTCTGCATCAGGGACTGTAGTGGTAGGACAAGGGGTGATGGGTTCAGACTGAAACAGGGGAAGTTCAGGTTAGATACAAAGAAGAAGTTCTTTACTGTGAGAGTGATGAGGCGCTGGAACAGGTTGCCCAGAGAAGTGGTAAATCCTCCATCCCTAGCAGTATTCAAGGCCAGGTTGGACAGAGGTTTGGGCAACATGGTCTTGTGTGAGGCATCCCTGCCCATGGCAGGAGGCTGGAACTGGATGATGTTAAGGTCCTTTCCAGCCCAAACCACTCTATAATTCTATGATTTCCTCCAGAAGGCTCTTGGACTTTGGTTGAAGTGGTTTGCTGAACATGGCTTCAGTGTACAGAAGGTAAAGGTTAGGTACATGCTTCAAGAAAAGCACTGTGTGCAGACCAAGTCACACACAGCTGGAGCACGAGCCTGTCCTTGTGTCTTTCCACACATTCATACAACAGTAACAAAAAGAGAAGGGGGCAGGTGGAAAAAATCACTTGCACCAGTGCAAAGGAGGCGCATGTGTTTACCTGGGTCCTACTCACTGTCTTACTCATACTTACTTCCAGATTCTTTTATCCTATTCTATGTCAAAAGGTTTTTGCTTTCCAGCTCCCTTACTCTTGAAAAATGCAATGTTTGACAGCACTTTAAACAGTGAATTGTGCCTGCAGAAATGTTCACTTCTAGAAGTAACAATTACAGTCTGTCAGAAGTTTAGGCCTTGGTTATTTATGCTCATATTCATCACTCATTTTTCAAATGTGTATCTCTAAGAGGGAACAGACTTTTTCCATATAAATTCAGCTTCTGCAAGAAACCACTTGAGCAGGAAAAGCAAAACCGATTGAGCTTGCCTGTGCTTTCCTCAAATCAAAGGAGAACTCTTAGTTCAGCATCTTGTCAGCAAATTGTGGCTGAGTTATTAACAATCTGTCTCAGTTATTAAGTACCTGGAATTTATAAATCTTTCGGGGAGGCATTGAATATACAAATCTCTGGCTGTTAATGGAGCTCCTGACTGCTATCTCTCAGCAAGCTGTGGACACTAAGAAACGTGTCATCTTGAAGATGTAGTAATAGGATAAGGGGTGATGGGTTCAAATTTAAACAGGGGATGTTCAGGTTAGATATAAGGCAGAAGCTCTTCCCTGTGAGGGTGCTGAGGTGCTGGCACAGGGTGCCCAGAGAAGCTGTGGCTGCCCCATCCCTGGCAGTGTTCAAGGGCAGGTTGGACACAGGGGCTTGGAGCAAGGTGCTCTAGTGGAAGGTGTCCCTGCCTGTGGCAGGGGGTTGGAACTGGATGATCTTAAGATCCTTTCCAACCCAAACCATTCTATGATTCTACGTATGAATTAAGCCTGTTGCTGTAGATTGTTTGATTGATTGCTGTAAAACTCCTTTTTTGGCACTTGTTGCTTTAGGGCAGGGGTCAGATTCTGTCTCTGCCTTGTACTGGAGATGTGTTGAACCTTGTGTGGTCTGACTGAGGTGGGTTAAGAGCCTGTTCTATTTTTGTAACTGTGCAAAATGGCTTTGGGGGACATTTGTAGTTACTGTTAGCTGGTAAATTCCTTGCTTCCTTAAAGGGGAAAGTGCTAAACCAATGGAGGTGACTTCGGCCCTAAGACTGTGGCACTGCAACTATTAAGAAGGACCTTTCCTTATTTTCCCCATGCTTTTATTCGGTTCCCTTTGTTATGCTGATTCAAAAGAAGCATCAGTTCAGGACTGGCACTCACCCTGTGTGGAAGTAGAATGTAACTGGTGTCTGTGAGTGTGTGTGGATTATTATGTATCACAAGGTCAGTGAAAACTAAGGACAGGGGCTTCAAGTAACAGGCAATGTACTCTGAACTCTGACAGTCACTATCCAAGCACTTGAGACTGCTCTGCCACTGAGTCCTCGCTTCATCTACAGGGACATGTCTTAGAAGGGAGTTCCTTGTGTTTAATACAGTCTGTCCACTTAGAAAGTCTGCAAATATGACATTTAATTCTGTCTTGTTTAATGTTGCTTTTGTGAAGGCAGCACCTAAATCTTACAGGTATCACTAGAGGAAAATGAGTTTTCTTGAAACTATGAAATAATCCTATGAATGGGTGAAAACTTTCTAGTGACAGCTGTAAGAAGACTGTAAAACAGTCTTACCAGCTCTTCTTCCTCCAGCTTCCTGCCTTCCATCAAAGATCTTCCTTCCTTCCATAATTAGCAGAAAACTGTAAGAGATGTGTAATCTTGTTCTCTGAAGGTGGAGCTGAGTGGTTTTACAATGTGCCTTTAGAGCTAATAATGATTCAAAGTTAACAGTCACGTAACATTTATTTTAGAGCAAACCTGTATAACAAATAATTCTGTGTAGAAACTCACAGCTTATGCCTTTGCACAGGGCATTAATTTGGATGGAATTAGTTCTTGACGCACTTCATCCGGTTAACTTCAGTTTCTGTCTCCAACATAGCTGCTGTTATTTAGTAAAAGCCTCCTGTGATGCAGGAAGTGTATCTGTGATGTAGGCCTGAGGTGTAGCAAGTTATGATGCCTGAAAGTTGGCCCCTATGGGCTGGGTTTAAATTGCCAGAACACACTCTGTTGTATAAGTCCCATTTAGCATAGGTAGGTGCAGGGTAAGGAGAGCATCTTCTCTGCAGCAGAACAGATCTTTACTTGGGGTGGATTAACAGTTTGTCAGCTTTAGGTTTTAGGTTATTTTAAGTGTGCACCTTAGGAAGGTAAGTAAGAGCTATTGCAATACTTCATTTGGAGTCAGAAGGTCTTTCACCACACTGCTGCCTATTCAGAATGATTAGAGAAAGAATATCATGAAGGTGTGGGAGAAAGTGGGATGGATTTGTTTGCAGTCATCCTTAGTAGAGAAAAGCTTTGACTTCCTCCTTCATTTTCCAGGAGGAAATGAAGATCACATCGATTTCCTTCTCAAAAAAAGTAGGGGTTTTGTCCACTTTAAGATCTGAACAAGATCTTTACTCCCAGTTGGTGATATGTGACACAGCATCCCTTGAGTGTCAGGCTATGTAAGGCATTAATCACCTTGTGAAGCTCTTAACAGCAGTAATAGATTATTTTATAACTGTTAGGGATCCTAACAGTAATTTTACTAATTTGAATGTAAAGCATGAACAGTGTAAGTGAATTAGGAGATAATAGAGATGTTTGCTCACAATTTAACATCTCATTCTCAAGCTATTAGCTGTTTACTGATCTGCAGCAATGAAGTGCTAAAAGATAAATACTGTGAAATGTTAAACTTTGATGAAAGATTCGAAGACAGAAATGGTTTCTTTTGCCAACACTGTGGTCACCAGCAGTGCCCTGACCTGATTACTTAAGCTGATGTTTTTCCTCAAGCTGTCATGAATCAGTAATGATCAAGTTTTGCAATACTCAATGATTCTCTTGTGAATAGCAACAGGATTTGTTATTGTAGGTTGGTCTGTTGTGAAAAGAAGTGTTCAGCTCTTGCATCTGCAGGCTCTTATAGAGTATGTTTTGCTGGTTTTTCACCTATGGAATGCCATAACAGATCTCCTGAAGAGTTCCACAAAATGTGAGGAAAATTCAATCTGGCCTAATGTGGAAGTGACCCCTCTGGTGTCTTTTAAATCAACTTTTGTGTCAGTGTGTTTTTCCATTCATAGTTGGAAGATAGCCAGTACAAGGATTCAGTTATAGGGCTTGACTTGTAGGCCTTCTAATAGGAAAAGGAACTTGTACGACATATTATTGTTATTAGTGGGGTGTTCTCATAGTAATTTAATATAGTAGTTCCAGAAAACATTCCCTTTTCCCTTGAACTAAGTGTGGTGTGGTTGAGGTGTGTTGTCGGTGGGGTTAGGAGAGGGACTAGGTCCCTGAGTGAAGCTGGAAATTCAATCCATGCTTCCTGTGATTGTGGTGGCATAATACTACCAGTAATCCTTGCAGCTCCTGACTGGTTTTTCCGTGAAGAAAGGGACCAAATGAGGGGAACTTCTCAGTTAAAGGCAATGAAAGATGCATTTTAATCATTTAAAAAGAAAAGGGTGGGATGGCAAACCTCTGTGGGGCTTATTCGAAGGATGCGTTTGGTTTTTGTCCATGCAGATCTGTGGCTAGAGCCCTGAGGAAATCAGACTTTGTTTCAAGCTATATGTGAAGTTCCTGTGGAGCCAGCCCTTTCCCAAAGCTCATAGAAGGAATGCAGCTGAGTATGAGGTAAGTGGGACCGCTCTCCCCATGTGGCAGAGCTCCTGTGAGCTGATTGACAGCAATCATTTGTTGGCTGATGGCTGAGCCTTAAAGGGGAGAACATACAAACAAGCAAATCTAAATGCAGATGTTGATTTGAGGGCATGGTCTGACACTGGTGGAGCTTTATCCAGTGGATAGAAGGGAAAAGAATAAGAAAGGATAAAGCCAGAGGAAATTTGAAGCAGGCAGTTCTGTTCTGATGCAAATTGCTTAACATAGATTTGTGGTTTTAAGTATATGTGCGCATTAAAAGAATGCTGACCTTTAAAACCATGGTTTCCTATAAATTGCTATTGTTGCTGTTCAGTGCATATGGACTTATAAGCAGCAGAAATACCATAAGCCTATTGGATTGGGAATGCACCATGGAAACAAACAGCACCCTGGCAAAATAAAGAGCTGTTTCCTCCATGGTGCTCTCCATTAAAAAGTCAACTCGGCATAGTTCCTTCTGAAATCCACATACCTGCCAAAGAGAAATGCATGATAAACTGGTGAATTAGATGGTAACTACTGTGCTTTGCTTTAAAACAAAGGCGGCTTTGATAAGATTCCTGAGCCGAAGTTATAGGTTGTGGATCCATAATGTAGGAATGCAATGAAATCAATTCCTCCTTGAGATAATGGAGATCTGGAGATGTAGAGCTGCCCTCTAGTGTCGCTATGGCGGTATAAGGTGTGCTCAACTGGCCGGGAAGCAGAATGTGTGCTGGAAGGCAAAGCAAAACGTGCAAATATCTTTGAAGGGATTCTATAGCTGCAATTCAAATGTCAGACCAGCAGTGGGGAAGGTGTAGTATTAGACACAGAGCACAGGCATGGTGCCTTCTGGGGAGGTCTTTCACAAGTCTCATACCCCATGAAGTACGGAAGAGCTCCATAAGCTTTATATCCAGGGCTTGTTCCAAAAATCCTCCATGTGTTAAAGAAGTTTGAATTTAGATGTTTGCTTGAGCTCATTTTGGGCAGAGAGATCTCCTGTGGAATTGGAATGGAGCTTCACAGCTGAAGTTGCCCTAATCTGGGACTGTTGAAAGCAATGGCTTTGTCCAGGGTTATTCTTTTCTAGATGAAAGACCTCTTCCCTGAATGCTACATTAATCTCCTTCACTTCTAGTTTGCATAGTCTTCTGTTCTGGTTCATGAAGAAAGGAACCTTCATGCAGAAATGAGCCAAAAGTATGACTCCTCTGAACAGACTCACCTTAAAAAGGAAGATAATGTCTTTATGGAGAGTGCCAGCATATTCTAACCTGGTATATGCAATTAAACTAATTTTCCTCTTGTTTAAACTGTGGTTATAACTACTCCACCCCCTTAGGTCAATTTACTTCTTTAAAATTGCATGAAAAAGAATCAGAGTAAGTTACATAAGTGATGTAGCAAGCTCTTGCATACAAACGTGTCCTTTGGGAAGCTTCATTTGTTGCCTTGTCAGAGCAATTAACTAACCCTCTATGATACAGTTACTTGGAAAAGCCTGTGAGTTTCTGTAATGGTTTCAGGGGTGTCTTTCCATGTGGCTGGTTAGTGAAGGTTAAACCTTTCTGTCCTGGTACAGCATTTTCTGAAGCTGCTGTTGGACCTTCATTTCTGTGCAAAATGGGGGTTCTGTTTCGATTTGGCAACCTGGCAAGACCAGGAATGCTAAATGCAATGCAATGTCTTAAGGTTCAGGTTCTGGGAATAACAGAGTGTTTCAAATTCACAAAGAGCGTGCCATAAGGGGATTTGGGAGTAGGTGCATTACTCCAGTGTGGGTTTTGAGATGACAATGGATATATGTGCAAGAGAACAGTGAGACACAGAGGAGAAGGGTATGGAAGGCTCTTGTTGGGAAGTTTCTTTGTGTGTATTAATATCGGTGTGCATAAAAGTAGAAGTAAAGATAATTGATTACAAACTGTTTTAACCAATGGTTACTCCCTATGCAGAGCCTTCAAAAGATCAAAATGAGAGGAAGGGCTTCTGCTAAGGGGAGTCAGTGTGAAAAGCAGAGTCTAAGGAGCTTTGATAAAACAGGTTTTCCTTTATCCACACTTACTGGGTACATCTCCCTCTTATTCATGTTTCCTACAGCCTCTTTGGTTTTCTTCTTAATGAATACAATGCTTAGAAGGCAAAAATCAGTTTTCTGGGTGCAGAAGTCCTGAAGACATGGACAGACGTGTGAACATACATGTACACATTGTGTAAAGCACATGCATACATGCCTACACACAGAAAGAGTACATGCAGCTGTGTAAGGGCCTTTGCTCTCTTTGTCTCCATGGGTTCTGTAGAGACTTCTCTGTGCTAAACTACACAAAGAAGATTTGGAGAAAGCTGAAGGATTAGGTAGCTCAATGGGGCTACTCCTTCCCCCATGTTGTGAACCGTAATTACTGAAGATGGTGTTGCTCCAGGTTATCTCTGGGATTAGGAGCTAAAAGGATCCCTTGTAATGTGCTTCTAATGGAGCTGTGTAACTGGAAGTCAGAGTGTGGTGCTGGAAGCCGCAGGCAAAGAACTCTCGAGAAAGTCCTGACCTTCTCTAAATCACTTCAAGTGAGACAAAATCTCTTCTTCAGTGAGCTGATGTTGACTAATGTCTGTGACTGTCCCCTCCAAAGGCTCCTCTTTTGCTTTTAATGTAAGAATGGACATCTTGGTTCAGTCCTGTTGGTCAGAATGTTCTTTGGCCTGTCCTGAATCTGATGGAAGAGGATGATGGTAGTATCTAACACTGATTTTTGATGTGGGGAGATGCAGATGCTCCACAGAAGCTACTTAGTGATTTCCCAGGCACTTAGAGGCAGCTACGGGATGGACACTTCCAGGGATAACTAAGTCCAAGTTAGACTGTGGTAATGATGAGAGAGTAGAGTATCTGTTAATTCATATGCACTATACTGATACACATGTCATATTCTTATATTAACAGCCTCAGTCTTTAAAACTTACCAGTCTCTGTGCTTGGGTTAGGCTCAAGCACATGGCAGTTGAAGCTGGTGCACATGCTTGGGGCACTCCTGGAACAGTAGTTCCATAATATGGTGTTACCTCTGTCCCTTCACGTGGGATATTTTGTTTCCCATCTCACAATGCAACATATCCAGGAGCAGGTGTTGCTTTCCTTGCTTTTCACATCTGTTGCCATCACCCATGCATAGCTACTTGACACCCTGGTTTCAGTGGTCCCCCTCTGTTACTGTGCTTCAATGTTTCTCATTGATGAAAGTTAAGAAAGTAGTTTAGGATATCTGAAACAAAAGAAAACAGTCAACAGAGGAGCAAGCAACTGCTTTGTGCTTAGGAACATCTTCACCTTTCATCAAGCCTTCCAGAACTGCTCTGAGGCTGGAACATGAAGCAGTTGCTGGCTCCTCTGGTGTCTGTTTTACTTTGTGTGAGATACTTGATGCAGATTGTATCTTCACCAGACTACCTGTGGAGGTTTATTTGCATGAGAACATCACTTAGAGTATCCTTCAGGCGTATGGCAGGAGATGCAGAATCCCTAGGGAAGCTCATGTTGCCCTGTAGATAAACAGCCAAGAATATAACTTAGATTCCAAGGGAAGGCACAGTCTCGTTCAGGCATTCAGTGGGGGGTATCACCTCTGCAGTAGACCTCACTGTGGGTTACAGCAGGGAAAGAGCTGTCAGCGTCATGGGCTGTGATTTGTTTTCTGCATAGGCTTGGCAGGTCTCCACAAACACCAGGTATCTGTCTAACTGAATTTGCAAGTTCCTCCAGCTGCCCTGGGGAGCTTGTAAGTTCCTTGAACCTCATTCCTGCCCCCATGGACATTACAAGCTGTGACTGCTTTGCCAGCAGAGCTGGTAAGTTCCAAGAACCCCACATAGTGGATTCACAGAAATTACAACCCTGCTGGCCACACTGGTCAAACGAGAAATGTTTTGGAGTTTCCTAAGCTTGAGCTGTTTCTCCATGTAATTTACAAGTTCCAATTGTGCATCTACGTAAAGGACTTTGGCACAAACAGCTGGAGTTGTTGGTGGTTACAGGCTCAGCCAGCACCGTGCTTAAGCAGCCCTTGGGGAATTTGCAGTGCTGACGGTTTCTCAGCAGAGCTTGTAAACCTGGTGGTCTCTGGACAGAACAGTTCTGAAACTGCCCCTCCTGTTGATTTAGCAGAGGAGATGCTGCTCTTGTGATCCTCGGGCTTCAGGGATGGGGTATAATCTATCACATCATTGAATGACCTTTGCTTTTATTGGAGCCTGAAACTGTGATTCATGGAGACAATAAATTCTGCCTCTCAACTGGCAAGTTCTGAAGCCTCTCAGTGATGTCTTGCTGGGGCAGAATGGAAATATAAAAGTCGTTATCTGTGAATGGGAATATCAATTCTGTGAGGTTTCTGCGGAAGGATGTAGATGACAGAAGTTTGTAGCTTTTGTCAGAGGGTTTTCCTTTGGTGAGACCAGACATGCTGTATTTAGATGGCAAAGAGGGGGATTTTCAGTTTTATAAGGTTAGGGTAAATTGGGTCAAAACACGTGCTACCCTGATGTTTTGTCTCACAGAATTCAGAAGTTACTTATTAACTGTAGTATTGCTTTCAGGAAGAAGTAGCACTCCAGTTTCCTCATCAGAGCTGACATTTGAAGAATCTCTAGCAAAAGAAATGGAAAGATGCTGAACTTTCCTATGGACAGCATGCACTATATTACAGCAGCAGCTTGGATCTAAGCATCCCACATAATCTTGATGCCTTTTCCCTTCCTATTCTGTAGACACCATCAGGAGGTAGAAACAACTGTTTATTTAAGTGTGTAAAACTGTGTAAGTTGCATCTTGCTCTTTCATGAGATTTGGAGTCTGGACTTGCAACTTTAACATTCAAAACACTGCTTTGTGTGTGTGTGGTTATGTATGTAAGTGTTCATATACAGTATAAATTGATGTGAACCAGCAGAGTTTGCTACATATATAGAAATAATATGGCTGCCAGGAT